ACTCACTAAGCTTCGTGCTTACGGTTTTCAGCTTTGGTTTCAGGTACTTCGTGTTTAAAGGAAAGGAGTCGGCCCGATCGCAGTGCATCACACTATGGTTTTCCGCACATGAGATCTTTGGGATTACACTATGATATTATTTTATGATAACACGTTTGATTATTTCTACTTTGGTTTTGACATGACATGATATTACGGATGTTTTATTACACTGTTGGTTTTATAATGATGTATTTAAAAATTAAATTTTTGGCCTGGATTTTTGGGATGTTACAAGTTGGTATCAAAGCCTTGGTTTGAGGGATTCGTACATACTCTCGGGTGTGTCTGAACTCAAACTAAGGGCTTGGTATGAAAATTTTAAAAAGTAAAACCATTTTATAGAAGGAGTTTGAAAGGAATCTGAAAAGAGAAAGGAACTTTGAGAAGAACAAAGTGTGTGATGCGTGCAATCAGTCAAGCTCAAGTAAGTTTTCCCCAAGATACCCATACATGTTATGATATGTTATGTTACGATATGATTATGAGAATTGCATGCTAGATTAGGGCTAAGGATCTAGGAGGATGCCTTATATGCCTATTATATGTGTTTGTAGACTTGCATGCTAGTACTGATCAGTTAGTGATAGGATATCTTGTTTAGGTTATGCCTGATTGTATGAGCCTTTTAATTGCATGTACAGATTCCTGATTAGAGGATAAAATTATTTGATTGGAATATGATGGATAGATTTTCCATTGTCTAAATGCTGATTGCTTTGTGCTTTGTGGGACTCTTAGTAATGTGATTTAGCTATTAAGTAAATATGCTAAGTCACATGTGGCACTGGCTGGATAATCTCAGAGTGATAGATTTGACCCTATTGCGCAGCTCTCGTTTGAGTCTAACCGTTATAGGGATGAGTCTGTTACTTGAAGGATTATCTGATCTCTGTTGCATGTGGCTATATTCATGAGGTAGCTAGTTGACATTACTGGGAATCTTTTGGAAGCTGAGGACTGGGTGAGTTCGGGAACCTAGGGAGGCCTAGGATATATTTTAGTGAGTTAGTAGTGAGGCTTAGTTAGACTTGGGTGTACCAGTTGAGGAAGTGACTTGGAGGATCCTGGAGGATTACTGAAGAAAGTATGGATATGTGTGGAAGGTAGTATTGGGCTTGCACTACTGAAAGCACAGGATCCATACTCGAATCAGTGAGAGTCTTGGAGAATCTAAGAAGCTTCAGGGAATAGTTTGTGACCCAGTTTGGGGACAGAGGATGTTCTAGTTGTTGCAGCTTAGCCATTGGCAAGCGAGCTAGTGAGCATGACAGGGTGTCAGACCCTAAATGATATGATTTCCAAGGATTGCAGATGCGGGATCGATTTGGGAGTACCCTGAAAAGAGAGGTGTGTGCTTGGTGCGTATAGTAGGGGTCTCGGGAAGAGACCCATGATTTTTGATCATCGGGTGAAAGGCCAACAGGGTCGGAGTCAGTGCAATGCGTACGAGAAAGTGCACGAGGGAGTTTGTCACTCCAAGGGTTTAGGCTACTACAGGTGTGGAAGGGTTGATCATATTAGATGGAGGTGACTCGGATTGCTCCAGATGTTGCGGGTATGTCATATTTTACTGCTACTAGTTGGATGTTGGGAATATGTATCGCTTTGGAATTGTGAGTGAGTTGGATAAGTCAGACCTCGGGTCGGTTTTCCTGCTAGTGTTTGGGTTATCAAGGATCATATATGCCATCCTGCATGCCGAAAGGTCCTTGATGAACCCAAAGAGGGATGTGTCTTGCAGAGTGGGTTCGGCGCATACCGTTATCATTTCGGATCTTTGCCGGGATCTATGCAGGAGTAATATTTAGAGGATACTCGATCAGGGTTGGAGTGATTGTTCTCCAATGAAGTCAGCATTCAGAGGTTCTATCATTGTTCAGGTATGGTCGGTAATTGTTTATGGATGAACTTTGGAGTTCAAGGCACTACCGTTGCTAGGACGGAACTGGTGATAGGAAGAGGGTAGTGTCAGTCGTGGATATTAGATGCATAAGTGGTTGGTCATCGCATGTTAAGGATAATTATGTTTCGCATGGGCGGTGTTCGGTTAGAGTTAAGTGGTACTGCAAGATTGGAAATGAGAACGAGGATTCATTAGTTAGAGTGAAGATTAAGGTCTTCAATTGGCAGCATGTTGGATGGACTGAGGTGTTAGACTGGATCAGAGTCCAAGAGTACTCATCGAGATTTCCAAGGATGGGAGATCTCAAGGTTTAATCGACAATTAAACGCTAGCATTGGCAGGAACAAGTTGTCATCAGTGGGATATTAGAAAGCGAGAAGGATTAGAAATCCTTCAATTCTCATGTAATATGAAGACTTAGTCGAGTCTAAGTGGGGGAGAGATTTTTATAAAGTTCTCCAACTGTGAGTTCTGGTTGCGAAAGGTGCAATCTCTTGGCCACCTTGTCAACCAGAAGGGTGTTCTAGTTGATTCGGCCAAGATAGAGGTTGTGATGCAGTGGGAGATTCCGAGGTCTCCATCTGAGATTCGGAATTCCCTGGGTGTAGCGGGCTACTACCGAAGATTTATACGGGACTTCTCCAAGATTGCGGTTCCTTTGACCCGACCGAACAAGAAATCGGTGGCCTTTAGTTGGGGGCCTGGGCAGCAGGCAGCCTTCAAGACTCTCAGACAGCGGTTGTACGAGGCACCAATTCTCACCCTACCAGAGGGTGTAGATGATTTTGTGGTTTATGGTGACGCTTTGATCACGGGCATGGGTACGGTACTGATACAATGGGGTCACACGATAGCAGGTTTCAGGAATCAGGTTAGAGTTCTGGTTAGGTCTCAAGTGTAGTGGTGTGTTAGGTCGAGTGTGTGTTCGACCTGGTTTGGAAAGTGTTATAAGACTACAGGGGTAGCCGTAGCATTCACTAGCGATCAGGTAGTATGGAAAGTGTTGTAAGACTACGTGGGTAGCCGTAGCATTCACTAGCAGCAGATAGTGTGAGGGGTGTTGTAAGTCTGCGAGTGTAGCCGTAGCATTCACCAGGTTGACATATAGTATTAGAGTGTTGTAAGTCTGCGGGTGTAGCCGTAGCATTCACTAGCAGCTAGATAGTGATAGAGTGTTGTAAGTCTGCGAGTGTAGCTGTAGCATTCACTAGGTTGATAGACGACATGAGCGTGTTGTTAGAATGCAGAAGGAATAGTAGTACCCACCAATTCGGGTGTAACAGTGAGGATATGGAAATCCACATATTGGATCTCGGTATTACCCAAATAGATTAGCTCTGGTTGAGCCAGTGATAAGACTGTAGGAACACCACTACAGTTATGAGATCAGGGAAGTAATGGACTGCTTAAGGGCGTTTGTAGATTAAGGCTACCATTGGTTAGGTAGCAACCACTTTTATTCTTGCATTGGATGATGACAGGATTCAACGCATGGACCTGATCGGTTAGATCATGAGGTTGTTAGAGCCACAGTGACATGATAACTAGTGGCAACTAGTTCCAGAGAAGGATTTCGTTCAGAAGTCGTGTGAGGCGACTAAGTAGGAGTTCTTTGGCTCCGTAGCCGAGTCAGAACCCAGTATTTCAGATGATTGGTGGACGAATAGAAACCAGGGATGTCTCGTTAGATATTGGAAAGTAGCCATGTGGAAACATACTGCCTTAGGCAGTTCAGTGTTTGAGCAATTTCTGCGTTCGGGCAGTGTTAGTATTCGTGTTTTAGGTTGCAAGTACACACGGAAAACTAGTTTATTGGGGAGTGACAAGTCACTCACAGCGGGATCATCTGAGCTTTAGCCGAGTATAAGTGACCTGCAGAGATAATTGGGCTTATGATTCTGATTTATAGTTGGAACCACATGTTATCAAAAGTTGAGTAGACAGTCGAGGGATAAACAGACTAGATTCATCAATAATGATTTAGTATGAGTGGTCTGTCAGGGATTCAGACCATCTTGAGATAACAGATTTTGGATAGATTACATGTGGTCTTGTTGCAAGGAATTCATTCACCTACATATTGTAGGGCTTTGCGAAGCTTGGTCACGGCTACCCTGGGAAGGCTAGGGTGTGCCCAGGAAGATGACTATGTTACTAGAGTGGCTTGGTATGTAAGTATTGGTAAGGAATGATTCCGAGGACGAAATCTAATTTAAGTGGGGGAGAGTTGTAAAGCCCTGTTTATTTATTAAATAAATAAATTAATTAATGAACGAATTGAAGCCCTAAAATAAATAATTATATAGCAAGGTGATGGTCTTGAGGAGTTAATTGTCATACTTTTAGAAGGCGGGGATTAAAGTGTAAAATTTGGACTCAAATTGTAAGTAATATTAAAGACAGGGGCTGCTTGGTAACATTTAGAACTCAATATGAAAGGAATTATGGAAGCAAGGGATAAAATGTAAATTCTGGATTTATATTGTGAAGATTTATGGAATCAGGGGTTAAAAAGGTAAATCTTGGGTCTGTTTTGAAAGAAAATAGGGAAAGAGGGACTGTTTGTGTAAACATGGGGGGGGGGGGGAAGTTTGGATGATGCGGGATATATAAACCCGCTATACGCTAAAACCCTAAACCTAAGGAGCAGCCGCCGGGTGATCTTCCAGCCGCCAACCTCATGTCCAGCCTCCATTATCGTTGGAGTCGGGAACCACCAGTCGAAGCGCTGCTATCTCTGTTCCGCTACCGGCGAGGGAGAGAGGTTGATGACCGTTGCCGCTGCACCTCTACCCTTCTTCTCCTCCTTCTGTTTTTTCCTTGTTCTTATTCGTTCATGGTGGTCGCCGGTGCCTCAACTGCCTTTCTCCTGGCGTGACTTCGCCGCCGTCGTTCGCCATTGCTATCGCCTTCGTTCCATGCGGTGGTTCTACTATGTTTTGGGTGTCGCCACCACAACGAGGGTAGCTCTTTCGGTTGGCTTCTTTATGTTGTATCTCATGTAGTGGGTGTATCGACTTTAAGCCGTGTGGGGGGGATATTGGATGGAAAACGCATGAAGACCACCATGGTAGCCAACCATGGTGGCTGCCGTCAACAACACCGCCGTAGAGCGGCTGTCATCGCCGCCTTTCCTTTCCTACCGCGTCAAGATTTCCAATGGGGTGCGTTTTTGTGTTCAAAGTGGGTTGTGTGTGCTAGGTGTTGCTGCTATAAGACAAGAGGTGTGTGTGAGTGGGTTTAATTAGCCGGGAAAGCCACCACCACCACCGTGAGGTGGTGGCTGGCACCATCTACCACTGCCGGCCACCACAAGGTGGTTGTGCGTGTGTATGTATGTTTTATTAGTGTGTGTGTTCTTTGGGGTTTCGTATTGTACATTGTAAAAAAAATGGAATAATGAGAAAGGAATTCGAAACCATCACTGTGAGGTGGTGGCTGCCGTGTCGGGTGGCGGTGTGCTTTGATGGTGATTGGACTCGTTTGGATGATTGGACAAGGGACCAAGAAACCCTAATGGGCCCAATGAGGCTTAATGAACCCTAATGGGCCCAATAATGCTTAATGGACCCAAAAGCCCAAACATGTGACTAATGGGTGTAATAAACCCTAATTGGTCTAAGGAAAACCCTAATGGGCTTAATGATATTTTAGTGGACTTAATAGGCCCAATAAAGCCCTAATTGATCTAAAATCCCAACAAATTAGTTATTGGACTAGTATTGGGTTGGAAACCTTATTTAGGGTTTGGAAAACCCTAATGCCATCAAAACCCTAATTTTGGGAAATTAATCGAGACACACGAGAATTATTTAATAACTTGAGATATTAAATAATAAACTTTGGCAAAGATTAGTCTAAGTGATAATGGACTTAATGTATTAATTCCTTAATAGGTTAAGTAGGAAACTTAACCCTAATCATCATTTTATGTGAAACCCTAATTTCACTTGGGTTTATTGTTAGGCCTTTCTTTTGGGCCTTGAGGGTTGGGCAATTAATGGGCCATCAAAAGTCAAGCCAATGAACTAGAATAATTTAATGGGCTTGGGGTAAGGCCCATGTAAGGGGCTTGGGCCCAATTTGGAAAATTGGGCCATAGTTGGGCCTTAATGATTATATGATGTTAGGCCTTAGAATGAGATCATGTATAGGCCTAGGCCCAATTTGGAAAATTGGGCCATGTGTTGGGCTTTGATTCCTAGTCGAATTTGGGCCTATGGATTGGGCCTTGGACTTGAATAAGCCAAGCTAGGGGTAATGTAGTAATTACCCAAAGAATGTACTTATGGTTATGTATTGGGACCCAATTATTAATTGGGTGTTATTTTGGTGTTGACAGTATGGGAATCTGTCAGCCAGCAGCTGGGGTCGAGTCTACGGGACTTTAGCAAGTGTGGGATTGTGTCTTTGGGACTTCAGCAGTGTGAGGTGAGTTACCTTCTAGTAGCGGTGGGTCTATGGCCACAATGTCGGCCCACCAGTAGGAATTGTATGATAGATGTTTGTCTCTGTGATATTCATCTAGGGTTGCTACTACCTGTGATATGTTATTGTGCTAGTATGATATGATGCTATATGCTAGTGACAGTAGGGGGAGATAGTCCCCCAGAATACCGGTCGATAGGGCCGAAGGGGTGGTCATGCCCAGCCATGCTAGATAGATTATGTGATATATGTGTTATGTGGTAGTAGTAGTAGGGGGTGAAATAGTCCCCAGTATTCGGTCGAGAGGACCGAAGGGGAGGCCAGCTCCCAGATATGCTAGTCAGTATCCGGTCGAGAGTACCGAAGGGGAGGCCAGCTCCCAGACATGCTAGTCAGTATCCGGTTGAGATGACCGAAGGGGAGACCAGCACCCAGATATGCTAGTCAGTATCCGGTCGAGAGGACCGGAGGGGAGGTCAGCTCCCAGATAGACTAGTCTGTATCTGGTCGAGAGGACCGAAGGGGTAGGTCGGGCACCCAGATATGCCTGACAATATATGTATGTTATGTGATTGTATGGTATGTGGTATGTTGGGGGAACTCACTAAGTTTCGTGCTTACGGTTTTCAGTTTTGGTTTCAGGTACTTCGTGTTTAAAGGAAAGGAGTCGGCTTGATCGCAACGCATCACACTATGGTTTTCCGCACATGAGATCTTTGGGATTACACTCTGATATTATTTTATGATAACACCTTTGATTATTTCTACTTTGGTTTTGACATGAAATGATATTACAGATGTTTTATTACAATGTTGTTTTATAATGACGTATTTAAAAATGAAATTTTTGGCCTGTATTTTTGGTATGTTACATAATAATAATAATAATAATAATAATAATAATAATAATAATAATAATAAAGAAAGAGAATAAAATAAAATTAGCAAATAAATATTTAAGGGCTAGATTAGTAACTTCAAGTTTGGTATGGACCAAATAAAAAAATCAAGTTTGTCGAGGACTATGTAAGTATATGATTTTTGAGAGGCAAGTTGATATTTTTTTAGAAATAGAAGTTGCGAGTCCTCGCGTTGTGGGGTACACACACGGGTTCATGCATGAAGTATTTTAGATGAAAATAACATACACTATTTTAAAAAGTAACATATGGCGTTCAAAGGTGTTGTACAAAAAAGATATCGTTATAGTGTTTTAGTTACAACTGCAAACGAGACATTATAAGCTAGTCTTTTGAACGTTTGGTGCTTTCTGTTGCCGATCTGCAAGTGTAAGATGTTCGTGTTAGTAGTATTGCTTTTATATTAATATGTGTTTTTTTGTTTTATCTTCTCTTCCAAATGGCAGCGTGGGATATTTATAATGAAATTTTCAAATGGGGAAGAAGAAGGAAATACGGCAATGAAATAAGTGAGGAGAAACTGACCTGAAAAGCTTATACAAAAGAGAAAGAAAGTTGGAGGAGAGTGTAATGATCATTGAAGCATCGATATTGAAATATGGAGATGAATGGTAATGGAAAACGTGGCAAATGAGGAAGCGCCTAACCAGCAGATGTAGGTGGAAAAAACCCAAACTGGAACGTGTTTGGTTTTTATTATATAGAGTATTGAAACCACGAAAAAAAAATCATAAACCAAAGGGACAATTTTGCAATTTTCTCTAAAAACTGCTATTAATTTTACTTTTATAGTCTTATGCATAGACATAACGATAAAGGAATATAAGAAAAC